ATGTGGAATAAGACAGAGATGAGCAGAATAAAAGGAAGATGGGTCAGAGATTAGGGTTTCATCTCATTAGTTTAAGAATGAGGCTTTGCTCTCAGAGAGAAAGGATGAGGAGTATCTTAGGAGGGACCATGCTGAAAAAGAGGAAATGTTTCACAGCAACAGAGAATCCAGCAGTCGTAGGAAACGAGAAAGGGACGAGATTTTAGACCAGCGGAAGAAAGATGGGCAGCAAAGAATCAGAGAGAACTTTGAGGAACTTCACTCTGTTAGACATAAAGATGAGGTCTGGTTGCAGAGCGAGAGGGGTGAGAGGCAGCGGGAGAGGGAAGATTGGCCTAGGCTAAAACAATCTCATGAAGATAATTTATCAAATCGGGAGAGAGAGGGAGGGCGGAATACCATGAAAAGTGGGCGTGGTTCAGAAGACAAAGCATGGGTTGGCCATGTTAGGAGCAAGGATGATTATAAAGGTTCTGATAGAGAATACCAACTGAAAGAAACAGTACGCCATGGTGAACAAGGGAAAAGAAGGGATCGAGTTGAGGATGAAAGTTTCTCACGTCATCGAGGGCGTGAGGATGTTTATGCACGCGGTAACCAATTAGGTAATGATGAGAGAAAAGCCAGGCAGGATAAATCAAGTACTCAGAATGATCGTGCCCTTGATGCTTCAGATAACCAAAGGGCACATGAGAAGAAACGTAAGGAAGGGATGAGGAAGAATAGAGAATATGAAGGTGGAGATCCAAATACTTTGAACGCTTCGAAGAGAAATCGAGAAGACATTGGTGGTAACATCAATGAGATGGTATGCACCATAAAACTCAAGGGCATAAGTTCCCTTAGTAGTTAGGAGAAAAATATCACAGTAGTTAATTATCTGGAGATGTTCTAGTACACACACACATGAATGTGCATGCACACACAAATATAAGATCACTTTGAATGAAAGTTTATTCAATTTTATGGAAACAGAATTTTGAATGAAATTTGATTCAGTTTTATGGGAACAATCAAATCTGGTTCTTAGTACTTGTTCAACTTCATTTCTGGTAGGAATAATATTTACTCCAAGCAACATATGCTTGTTGTCCCTCAAGCAACTTATGCTGGTTAGGCCAGCACAATGAAATTTGTGGCTTTTGTAAAATGTCTAGCCATTTAACAGCAATGTGATCATGTGGTTTCTTCATTAGAAGATGCCACACCCTGGTTGCAATCTTCATTTATATCTTGATTGACAAGAAACTTGAGATCTAATCAATACACCCGTTTTTAGCAATGTAGACTTCTGGCATCTCACTGGATCTGATTTCCATTTTGTTTTCTTGTTACTTATCCCTTGTTGATTAATATTGGAAGTCTACCTGCTCTGCAGATCTCTTCTTGTCAAATAATCTTGTTGATTTTGCTTTGATTAGGGCTTAAAAAGCACCAATGACAAAAATGAGACTGCAGTACATCGTAACTCTTCTAGGAAGCACAGGGAAGATGCTTCTTCAGATGATGAACAAGAGTCAAGGAGGGGGCGCTCCAAATTGGAGCGTTGGACTAGCCATAAGGAGAGGGATTACAGTATTAACAGCAAGTCATCAGCTTCTTTGAAGTTTAAGGAGATTGACAAGAACAACAATGTAGGATCTTCAGAACCCATCATGATTCCTGATGAAGCTGCCAAGTCAGTTGAGCCTACTGATAACCAACATCCCACGGCTCTAGACGAAAGTGCTGGTGATCCAGAGATAAAGGATGCTGATACAAAACCTTTGGAGGATCGTCACCTTGACACTGTTGAGAAGCTTAAGAAGCGAAGTGAGCGGTTCAAGCTTCCAATGCCAATTGAAAAAGATCCATTAGCAATAAAGAAAATGGAGGGTGAAGCACTGCCTTCGGCCAAAAGTGAAACTCCTGCAGATTCAGAGATCAAGCCAGAGAGGCCAGCCCGGAAAAGGAGGTGGATCAGCAGCTAATTTGGAAAACTAATAGCAAACATTATGTTCTGCATCCATTTTGAATCCAGAGGCAGTTGGCCTGCATGTCCTTCAATAATTTTGATCCCAGAGGTCTTGTCATAATGGCCCTTTGTACCACATTATATAACCTTGTAACAAGGCTGCTTCCAGGTGCCTTTTTTAAAGTTATTATGTATATACTCTGGAGTATGTAACATGAACTGGTCACAAAAAGTGGCACAGGTTTCATTTAGTGCAAATTTGTAGTGCAATACTCAGATTGTCTTAATCTGGGTGCCACAACCCCCATGTAAGGGCTAACAGGGGACCAGCCCGCACAGAAGCCAGTGCTGTCGGAGGTGAGGTTCTTCGTTGCTTTGGCATCTGGACATATTTTGGTAACTGCACAGTTGAGCCGATGAGATAATTAGCTATGACTGGCGAAAAGCTTGGGAAAGGTGAAGATCTGGATGGATGATTCTGTCTGTATACTATAGCATAACTAGAAATTAAATTTACCTTTAATTCCTTTTCCTCCATATCTTTTGAAGCTTTTCTCACTGACTGGGGTGGAAAGCCTGAAACATGTTTATGTTCTATACTAGAGGAGCTAAGTGGAGATTAATAAAACGGGTATTGAAGAAAAATTCAGTATTATTGCCTTTTTTGGGTTGGTAATGAGGGAATGAAATGTATTGTTAAATCCCATAAAAATGTGAAATTTATTTAAAATATCCATACCAATTTTGCTACTAGAATTGTAAATATTGGATGTCAAAACTTATCAAAACTTTTTGTGTATTGTTTTAAATTTATCATTATAAATGTATATTTTATATAAATTAAATATATAATTTTAGAATTGTATTTAATGAGCATAAGAAATATTAATACCTAAAAAATCAATTTTTTAGAAATTAAAATCATATTCAAAATGAAAAAATTCATGAAATTTTTTTAGAATTCTTTTTTTTTGACAATAACGATGATAATAAAGGGAAATAATATATCAACATATTCTACATTTATCTACAAAAACTTTTGTATTTATCTTAGTCTATCCCAACCAAGAAAAATTAAACATTTATTTAGCTTTGCAATAAATTCTTTCGAATCTAAATCCAATTAAATAATTATTTAACTATAAAAAATATTTGATATCCGATTTATGATTTATGTATAAATATTGAAAAATAGAATTATTTTGTTGACAAAATATCTATATTAATAAATATATATTTTTAAGAGATAAATATGTTTCCATGACATTGTTTGGTAAATAGTATTTTTTATTTTAAAAAATATTTAGATAAAAAAAAGGACCATATGAGTAATATTTTGATGTATAGATCAATACACCAAAATATCAGTTAGTATTCCAAAATTTAATCAATACACCCAAAAATTAACTAAAATGAAATCTAATTTTATATTATTTCAGATTAAATATAAATCCACTATATACTAACCGATCCACCGGTATGAAATAGAATCAACAACTTTGATTTATTCTCAATTATATCATTCATTGTTAGCACAATTTCGTTATTAAAGTAAAATGGCTCAATTTACCAAAATACTAAAAAACAAGAGTTATATATATATCTCAATGCTAAATTGCTAGTAGTGCCATAAAGAGAAGAAATAAATTGTAAAGGCAACGCAAACTATCAGTTTGTAAATTAGAAAATGAAAAAATTC